TGTAAGAGTGCATTAGTGACTTGAATCGGTTGAGCTATAATTGGTTAACCGACCCGAACAGAATAAATTTCAGGTAACCGGTTGAGGAAATTCTTAATTGGTTGACCTGATACAACCGGTCGGCGAGATTAATATGGTATGAGAAAATGTTAAAATGACGTAGGATCCGAAAAGTTCTGACAAAAATTAGAATAAAGCTTCTAGAATTTCCGAAAGTACATAGTATTAATATATATATTTAATCTTAACCGGTTGGTAATCGGTTGAATGAGATAATTCGGTTCGGTTAACCGATTAAGAAAATTTCTCTCAGTTCAAATCACTACTTTGGATAGTCTCCAGAGCCGTTAACAGCTTATCCCAAAGCCGGTTTTAGCTATACAATAGAGCTAAACCGACCAATGCAACTTAAGCTATAACTAAGCAACTGAATCGCTTTTAAAGTCATAACTTCAGATTAAACCATAATTATTAGTAAATAATACCGCTAAGCTTTGCATTAAATATTATTACATTGCTACAGTAATAATGATTTTAAAGCAGTATAGTATTTAAAGAAGCCAAACAAGCGTTAACAGTTCTAAAAATCTTAAACAGATTAAATTGGTCTACAAAATTCTTTGTCAGGCTTCACATGATATTTCAATTAAGTATTTCTTATTTAATCAATTGAACATTATCAATCAATATACATACGTATTAATTAATTTCTCGTTTTAATTTTTACTACATAATATAGAAGACCTCATGCTTAGTGCTACTGTTTTATTGCTATATATATAGTATCTAAATTTAATACTGACATAAATCATTAAGTAGCACTTTATGAATTCATTGGGAAAGTATATAGCCATTGCATTAGTATGTGCTATAGTAAATTTACTCAGTGTCTTTATCGTTTTCACTATTTCACTAACAATGATTGATGGAGCATTTAGTGCATTAAAATATATATTTTGGTATTGGTAGTCATAAAAAAAGCATTTAAAGATTTAACCAGATTGCTAAAATTGAATCGAATAATATACTTGCATTAAAATATTAAGCTGAAACTTATTTTTACTAATAACATATTGATCAATTCAATACATTTATGTCACTTCAATTATGAGTGAATGTTTATGTTCATTCTTTTCAATCTCTATTTCGTTTTGATAAGAATGTTTAACAAATTATCATTGATTTTTGATAATAAATGAAGCCTCATTTCCATGTTCACAACAATATCTATATAATCGAAGTTAGTGCCTCTTTAATTTGGTCAGTGTCTACTATAAGGATTTGAAACTTTAAGCTGTATCTTATTAGGATAGATTCTCTAACTTTTCTTCTAATGGTCCCCGCATCCAAGACCTGAGACATTGTGCTGCTCTTACTGTTTTAGGCACTAATTTATACCTATGATTTGTAATCATATTTTCACCTGAAGAAAAGGCATGCTTGGAAGCCACAGAGGAAGCAGGAATTGGCAAGTAGTCTTTGGCCATACGAGCAAGAAGAGGAAACTGTGTTTAATGCGCCTAAATTTTATATTATATTAATATCAGATATGTATAAATATACTAAATTAATATAAATATACTAAATTAATATAAATTTTACTATCATTACCTTCCACCATGCCAACACGTCTATTTCTTTGTTTGCTGGCTTTTCTGAGATGTAGTGTTCTAGCTCGTCAGAATTTTCTTCAACCTCATCAAAATCTGCATCTAACAATGACTGTGTGGTCTGTTTTATATTAGTGCTAGTGCTTGGAAAGTTACTATTAGACAAGGTAACTGGTGCGTATTCAGTTTTATAAAGATAGCACATTCTACGTAATCAAATTTGTTAGAATAAATACTACAAATGAGTGCCACCAAGGAAAAGCCTACAAGTCGTACTTTTTGAATATTGAATTTTAATAAAAATAACTTAATTTAGTACCTACTGTTCTTAATATTATTTGAATCATTTTATTAAGTGATTCAAATGATATTAAAATTATAGGTATTAGAAAATTGACTAATTAAATTATTTTATTAAAAGTAAATATTCAAAAAGTATGACTTGTAGGTTTTCTCTTGGTGGTACTCAAGTGGCATACTATAGTTGTTAGGCGAAGGTATACAGTGCTTTTGTTTCATTAATCTCTTTATCGGGAAATTCTTTCTTTAAAAAATAATGAAACTTTCTTCTCGGGTCTAAAGCTGCACAGAGCATTACCATTGCATTTGTTTTAGAATAATATTGTACCAGTTTTTCCCTTGCCTCCCTAGCTGCAGTAAAGAGTGGAGCTAACAATTGATGTTAATATATAAACTCAAAGCTAAAACTAAATGTAATAGCAACTTACTTTTTTTCTCTGCATTAGATTCTACATCTTCAACATGATTGAGAATAATATTAAAAAGAGGAATAACCCAGAAAGCCGTACAGTGTGAATTCGACGACATTTTTGTTGTGAGATCTTTAAATGGTTCAAGGAATTCGGCAATTTTTTCTAGCGTGACCCATTGATTATATGAAATAGCATACTGGTGAAGATTATTATGGGTGCTAGTAAGACTATTAAGTGCCTACAAATTTATCAAAGTTTGTATTTTTAAATACCCTAATAAAACTAAAGACTGTAACCGATAAGTTTTGAGCATCACAAATTCTAGAATTTCGAGCATCGGTTGATCAAAATTTTGATTTTTAATTTAATTTTTTAAAATATCAAACACTGAATTTCTTAATGCACAGTAACTGCATGTAATTACTACATCGTTACTATGCAGTTACTGTATATTAAGATATTTAGGTTTCTGTAAAGCATATACTGAACCTCCCGGAATCGATCCTTTAAAATCGATAACTTGCCAAATTTGATAAAAAAATTAGTCTACCAAGTCCGTTTCTATTATATAAATCTATCAGTTTATAATGTTTTCAAATCTGATAACCTCCCATACTAATACAAAATCTGTCCACCATGCATATCGGTTTTGGAAGATTCAACAGTATAAAAAATTTAGTGTAACACTAAATTTATTAATTACTTTTTTTGAATTGTTAATTTATTAAAAATTAATTATCAAACAGTTAAATTTCAATTTGACTGATGCTCGATAATAACTGAATTAAAAACTCAATATTGTTGAATCCCCCAAAACCGATATGCATGGTGAACAGATTTTGTATTAGGCTATTAGATTTGAAAACATTATAACCTATTTTATTTATATAGCAGAAACGAACTTGGTAGACTAATTTTTTGATAGTTTATCGATTTTGGGAGGTTTAACAGTTTCATCGGTTCCACTCTTACAAAATTATATGATTAGAAAACCTACGGGTTTGAGAGATAGCCCATTCTTGATCATATCATAGGTGGAATTTCACCTAGTGGGGCAGTCTAGGATAGGTTTAGAATATTTAATATGGCATGCTTTATAGGCATTTTCAAGGAGCACAAAACGTTGGGGTGATGTACGGATAGCCGAATTAAGTTCTCGAATCTTTAATTATTCTTTTATTAGTATAGAATAATAAAATAAGTGAAAAAATTCAATGCTAATAAGATTTATATTAAGACCATGCAAACATCTGTTTTTATTTGATCTAAAGCAGCCTGCGCTGCCAAATTAAGAACATGGTTGAAACAATGGAATCGAAGGTGTTCTGGGCTCCATTCAAGGTATTCTTCTTCCCATAATTTATTTGCCAATTCATGCACAAAAACATCGTTATTTGCAGCATTGTTCAGGGTGACTGCAAGTAACTATTCAAGAAAAAAAATACATATCATTTTAGAGATAATTACTACTGTAAATTCTCGAAATAGCATGGGCATTATTTTGAATTTTGGCCCAAAAAATTAAGCTTAATTCGTGTCAAAATTTCGAAATAACACCAGTGCTCACTATTTCGGTACTATATGCTTGAACCTCCCAGAATCAATCCTCTCAAAATCTTAATCTGTCAAATTTGATAAAAAAATTAGTCTACCAAATCCGTTTCTGTTATATAAATTTAATAGTTTATAATGTTTTCAAATCTGATAACCTCCCAATACTGATACAAAATCTGTCCACCATGTATATCGGTTTTGGGAGATTCAACAGTATATACGTTGAATCTCCCAAAACCGATATGCATAGTGGACAGATTTTGTATCAGTATTGGGAGGTTATCAGATTTGAAAACATTATAAACTATTAGATTTATATAACGAAAATGGATTTGGTAGACTAATTTTTTTATCAAATTTGACAGGTTATCGATTTTGAGAGGATCGATTCTGGGAGGTTCAACAGTATTATAAGACTAATAAAATTTGTCTAATTTCAATTATGAGCCTCTATGATAACAGGATAAAAAGATAAATAAATGCCTTTGACATAATTCCAAAATCTTTTAACACTTTAAAGAATCCATCCGCAATATTAATTCCATCATGTCTTCTGCTCATTAAACCAAAGTCAATTATGGTTTTTTTAAGATCCCAATTTTCATCTATGTAATGTGCCGTGACGGAGATAAAGGCTTTATTATTAGGTAATGTCCAAAGGTTTGACGTAAAAGAGATTTTAGAGTTGATAGTAGCGAAGTAGGTCTAGAGTGTTATAATACCCAGTAAAGTAAATAAATAAATAAATTATAAATAATTTAGAATTTATGCATTTAAAATTTATTTAAATTCATTTACTGCGCTTTTTAAATTACTGTGTTCTAATTACTCATCTTTTAAATTATTATTTTTTTTTAATAATAATCAATGAAAATAATAATATTTTCGAAGATTCCCTGTTGAATGCTAATTGTCTAGTATGATATTCATTATACCCTTATAAATTTTGAACGAAGGAATCTTACTAATAATCTGTCTATTTTTAATTATCATATTCTTAGGATTTGAAAATAAATATTATATGTATAGGATAAAAATTAATTTTTATGCGCATGAAATTCGCAGATCACGGTAATTTGAAAAGCGAAATAAATGAATTTTGAATCTAATGTTGAATTTAATCTTAAGATTCAATGTATTTAATCCACAGAACCCTAATATGATATATAATCATGAAACTTGCTTTTAATTCCCTTTTTCCAGAACTATAAAGCGACATAATTGTATTCTTTATTGCATCTCCTTTGACTAATTTTGCTGTGGGATTTAAAAATTCTATTATTTCGATCAACTCTGGGTCTTTAATTATATTAAATAGGCGTTGGCGCTTTACTATCCAAGCAGCGAACATATCACGAAGTTTTGTATTATCAAGGCTAGTCAATGTTTTAACGGAGGGGTTTTTAGAATCCTAAGGTAGGATTTAATTAGATCAGCCTAAAATTGTAAAAAAAATAAAATAAAAAAATAAAAAAAATACCATTTTGAATGCCTCCATAATATTACCACCTTCATTCTGGACTTTCTTTTTTTTCTTACCATATTCTTCTGTCGTGACATACTGTGCCCAGTGAGAAACTTCTAAATGACACCAGAGGGGGCTAGTTGAGCCTCCATCTCCACAAAAAAATTCGGCATGCGTGCACTTCGGAATCTTACATTTGGCAGTTTTTCGGTCTTTTTCCTATACAACTCTGTTAAAAAACAGCTACACCTCACTCCAATCTCGCTTACTACCAGTTATAACACTAACACTATCATTAACATGGTCATTATTGTGATCACTATTATTGTGGTCACTGTCGTAGCCATAGTAGCAGCCACTATCGTAGTTGTAGTCATTACTATAGTTATTACTATGGTCACTATCATAGTTACTATTACGATCTGATGAAAATTCTTTGGAACGCGAATTCATTATTATGTAAAAATAATAGTCGTATGCTATTACACGTACTAATCACTATTTTTCACAATTTATGAATTAGGCGAATAGACAAATAACCAATTGCTTTTAAAGCATTCCTGAATAACTACTGTCACCCTAAAAACTTTGCCTTATATACTACATACATTTAGACTTATGTCTTTTTATATTCGTACACTAACAAGATATTTTATAAAGATTGTACAGAGTAATCAAGAAGTGCATATATTCATATGTGAGTTTTTTTCAATATTTAACTAAAAAAAAATTTTTCAACGTTTAACTGAAAAAAAATTTTTTAAAGCATTTAACTTGTTCATATAAAGTTTTAATTAATTACAATAATGTTCAAAGGTAGCAGTTTATTAAAGAATCACAGGTTAGACAACATTTAACTCCTATATGCAAAAATTTTTGGCAATAAGTTTATCTAGTTCTTTCTGGCTTTTTTATGACAAGCCCTTTTGTACAAGGTAAAAAGTTTAGATAAACTTTGTAATGCTTTATTGATCACGTCATTTAATTATTGCGGTATTATTATCCTCATTTGTTATTAATTAATAATTATACTGGTAAGTATGGTCCACGCGGGATTTTAAAGTACATTTCCATATAATGGTGATGCCAAAAGACTGTATATATATGCATCATAGATATAACGAGTTTCTTGCTAATCCTTTCCAAAATAGAACAAATTATATAGATCACGAGCATATGGAGCATTTTTTTATTTACAGTTTTCATTGAAAGAATATTTTGATGATTAATGATTATCAATTAATCTATCCAGTAAAAAAAAACAAAGTGCAGATTATTAACAATTATTTTCTTCAAACTAACCACATTCATAAATATTGAAGTACGATAGTTGACAACTCGATTTACAGGTTGGTGATGAATGATGGATAGCAAAAAGATCAACAGATTGGTAATAGGTGAGAGTATGGTTGTTAGACGAAACCTTTTTTCGCATGATGGCAAAAGGCGAAATCTCTGACGAAAGTTGTAACCCAAATTCTTCTAATGAAGGATGAAGCCTTAACAAGTTTTTTTTGTCTTGGCTCCTTCAGCAGAGTCTAGTCTTGCCCAAAAAAGCATCACCTCGCTTGATTACGTTTGGTTTTGTGTCAATACTAGTCATCCCAGTTTTTGGATTCTACTACTTCTCAATCTTTTAATTCTTCGCTTTCTGCAGGATCATTAGCAGCTGCTTCGTATTTATTTAATTGCTAAGAACAAAAATAGCGAAGAAATTTATCTAGTATGAGAAGAAAACGACAAAAAAAGACTTAAAATAATGAAACCTTATGCTCAAAAAGGCAAACCTCTAATGCTCTCCTAAAAAAAAAAAACATAAATAGAAACTTTATTAATAATTATTCAGAGATCAGTATTCGAATTACATGTATGCCAGCAAAATAAATCGGTTCATTTTTTCTGGAAACGTTGGGTTGTTATAAACCGGTTAAACAACCTTGTAAAAATCATAGTACTTATGGAATAACACAAATAATGAATTAATATTGCATAAATAAATTTGTAAGATCACAAAGTAAACACTAAGCAATTTCTCACCAGACCAATATATAGTGTATTAGTATAATACAATATATCTAACTCTCTTTAAATAATTCAAGCATCTGTTATGCAATAAAACTTTTTGTAATTTTTATAAATTTTTGTTTTTGTTTATTCTTTTGTCAATGATTTTCAGCAACATTTATTTGTATATTCGCCTTTCATTAGTTTCGTCACCCTTTACAGTTTGTCATTTTGTCATTAAGGTTTTAATTGACGAAATACAAAACTGGAGATTTTGTCTAGCAACTATAGATGAGAGTGCCAAAAGATAAGCTGAAGTGAAAATTGTATTATTAGATTATCGTTATCAGAAAAGCCATGCTTAATTATTAATTCAAACTCAAACAGTTTGCAAGCTTTGAATCAAACCCGAATCAAACTCAATTATAATATTTGGTTTGATTTGAGTTTGATTATTTCATGTTTGAGTTTGAGTTCAAATTTTATGAAATTTGTAGTTTGAGTTTGGTTTGATTTGAAGTTTGATCAAACTCAAATCAAACTCAAATCAAATCTCGAAACCCTAGTCACAGATAACTAGCTCGAGCTTTAGTTTGAGCTTTTAGTCTGAGCTCTTATTCTTGAATACAATTTATATTTATTTGTTATAATACAAATTAAGTTTTTATATAGTCGATATGTAATTACTTATATAAATTAATCAATAAAGATATAAGCAAGGCCTCA